ATGTGCCCTTGACCGGGAATCCAACGGTGACCTCCTGGTTCTAAGGTCGACGCTCAACCACTGAGCCACACCGGCTGGGCTATCTTAGCTCCTTTAGTTTGGGGCTGAGGTCACCCTGAGTCCTCAGATTGTCGGGGACTAGAATCTCAGCCACTGCCTCAGGCAGGAGCGCCAGCCTTCCCTTCCTTTTACTCGATGAATCATTTGCCGGTGGGCACACAGGTGAGAACAGGCAGCCAGGGCGAGCAAGTCTGCAGGTGTTTCAATGAAGGATTTCCTCTTTTTTTTTTGTAACCTGGATTTTCAGGACATGCAAATCAGGGGGAGCGGACGGCCTCATTTGCATATCCCAAAGGTGAGTCTCCTGGGTGAACTCCTTCTACCTGCGTGGACCAGCCTCCCCAGGGGACAGGGCGGAATTCCACACAGGCTGCGGTCTGGGGACAGGTGGCAGCCAGGAGAGTCCCATGTCCCAGAATCAGGGAGACGCCACCACGGACAGGTGAGCCGGACAGGTGAGCCGGACAGGTGAGCCAGGGAAGGTGTTTTGTGCTGAGCTCAGCCTATCCACTCAGCCTATCCATGCCTGATCTTGTGTTGGGACTGGCTGGTTCTAAGGTCGACGCTCAACCACTGAGCCACACCGGCTGGGCTATCTTAGCTCCTTTAGTTTGGGGCTGAGGTCACCCTGAGTCCTCAGATTGTCGGGGACTAGAATCTCAGCCACTGCCTCAGGCAGGAGCGCCAGCCTTCCCTTCCTTTTACTCGATGAATCATTTGCCGGTGGGCACACAGGTGAGAACAGGCAGCCAGGGCGAGCAAGTCTGCAGGTGTTTCAATGAAGGATTTCCTCTTTTTTTTTGTAACCTGGATTTTCAGGACATGCAAATCAGGGGGAGCGGACGGCCTCATTTGCATATCCCAAAGGTGAGTCTCCTGGGTGAGCTCCTTCTACCTGCGTGGACCAGCCTCCCCAGGGGACACGGCGGAATTCCACACAGGCTGTGGTCTGGGGACAGGTGGCAGCCAGGAGAGTCCCATGTCCCAGGATCAGGGAGACGCCACCACGGACAGGTGAGTAGGACAGGTGAGTCGGACAGGTGAGCCAGGGAAGGTGTTTTGTGCTGAACTCAGCCTATCCATGCCTGATCTTGTGTTGGGACTGGCTCTTGGGATTCTGGTGGTGATGGCAAGACACCCTTCCATGGTACCCATCAGGAAATTTTGATAGAATAAAGGTTGATCATTCTTCATTCTTCACGGGAAATTGAGGCAATGCACCTGAGGGTACACAGTAAGCTTACCAGCAGACAGAGAGAAAGAGAGGAGAGAGAGAGAGAGAGAGAGAGAGAGAGAGAGAGAGAGAGAAGAGGAAGAGAGACCCATACACAGAGAGACAGAGAGACAAAAACAGACACAGAGAGAAGAGAGGGAGATTGGGCACGGGGCTGGGGTCTTGCTTTCACTCGCTCCGTTTTGGTGCATTTAAAATATGAGAATGGAATTTTTTTTAAAGTGCCATAAGAGGAAAAACAAGTAGCAACCATGACCATTCATGGGAACCAACCAAGATCGCTGGTGTGTGATTGGCAGTGGGTGAATTCTGGATAATTGCTGCCTCTGAAATAAAAGTTTAAACCACTTCCAGGGCTCACACAAGGAGGAGGTATGAGTAGATACATGAGCAGATGTATGAGTAGATGTATGAGTAGATATGTGAGTAGATGTATGGGTATATGTATGAGTAGATATGTGAGTAGATATATGAGTAGATGTATGAGTAGATATGTGAGTAGATATATGAGTAGATGTATGAGTAGATATGTGAGTAGATATATGAGTAGATGTATGAGTAGATATGTGAGTAGATATATGAGTAGATGTATGAGTAGATATGTGAGTAGATATATGAGTAGATGTATGAGTAGATATGTGAGTAGATATATGAGTAGATGTATGAGTAGATATGTGAGTAGATATATGAGTAGATGTATGAGTAGATATGTGAGTAGATATATGAGTAGATGTATGAGTAGATATGTGAGTAGATATATGAGTAGATGTATGAGTAGATATGTGAGTAGATATATGAGTAGATGTATGAGTAGATATGTGAGTAGATATATGAGTAGATGTATGAGTAGATATGTGAGTAGATATATGAGTAGATGTATGAGTAGATATGTGAGTAGATATATGAGTAGATGTATGAGTAGATATGTGAGTAGATATATGAGTAGATGTATGAGTAGATATGTGAGTAGATATATGAGTAGATGTATGAGTAGATATGTGAGTAGATATATGAGTAGATGTATGAGTAGATATGTGAGTAGATATATGAGTAGATGTATGAGTAGATATGTGAGTAGATATATGAGTAGATGTATGAGTAGATATGTGAGTAGATATATGAGTAGATGTATGAGTAGATATGTGAGTAGATATATGAGTAGATGTATGAGTAGATATGTGAGTAGATATATGAGTAGATGTATGAGTAGATATGTGAGTAGATATATGAGTAGATGTATGAGTAGATATGTGAGTAGATATATGAGTAGATGTATGAGTAGATATGTGAGTAGATATATGAGTAGATGTATGAGTAGATATGTGAGTAGATATATGAGTAGATGTATGAGTAGATATGTGAGTAGATATATGAGTAGATGTATGAGTAGATATGTGAGTAGATATATGAGTAGATGTATGAGTAGATATGTGAGTAGATATATGAGTAGATGTATGAGTAGATATGTGAGTAGATATATGAGTAGATGTATGAGTAGATATGTGAGTAGATATATGAGTAGATGTATGAGTAGATATGTGAGTAGATATATGAGTAGATGTATGAGTAGATATGTGAGTAGATATATGAGTAGATGTATGAGTAGATATGTGAGTAGATATATGAGTAGATGTATGAGTAGATATGTGAGTAGATATATGAGTAGATGTATGAGTAGATATGTGAGTAGATATATGAGTAGATGTATGAGTAGATATGTGAGTAGATATATGAGTAGATGTATGAGTAGATATGTGAGTAGATATATGAGTAGATGTATGAGTAGATATGTGAGTAGATATATGAGTAGATGTATGAGTAGATATGTGAGTAGATATATGAGTAGATGTATGAGTAGATATGTGAGTAGATATATGAGTAGATGTATGAGTAGATATGTGAGTAGATATATGAGTAGATGTATGAGTAGATATGTGAGTAGATATATGAGTAGATGTATGAGTAGATATGTGAGTAGATATATGAGTAGATGTATGAGTAGATATGTGAGTAGATATATGAGTAGATGTATGAGTAGATATGTGAGTAGATATATGAGTAGATGTATGAGTAGATGTATGAATAGATGTATGAGTAGATATATGAACAGATGTATGAATAGATATATGATTACATATTTGAATAGATTTATGAGTAGATGTATGAATAGATGTATGAATAGATGTTTGAGTAGATATATGAACAGATGTATGAATAGATGTATGAACAGATGCATGAGTAGATGTATGAATAGATGTATGAACAGATGTATGAACAGATGTATGAGTAGATATATGAGTGGATGTATGAATAGATGTATGAGTAGATGTATGAATAGATGTATGAGTAGATATATGAGTGGATGTATGAGTACATATATGAGTGCATGTATGAATAGATGTATGAGTAGATGTATGAATAGATGTATGAGTACATATATGAATAGATGTGTGAGTATATGTATGAGTAGATATATGAACAGATGTATGAATAGATGTATGAACAGATGTATGAATAGATGTAGGAGTGGATGTATGAGTACATATATGAGTGCATGTATGAATAGATATATGAGTAGATGTATGAGTAGATACTTGAGTAGATGTGGGTAGAGATGTTTTTGGCCCTCTCCTTTAAAAAAATACATTTTTATTGATTTCAGAGAGGAAGGGAGAGAGAGAGATAGAAACATCAATGATGAGAGAGAATCATGGATTGGTTGCCTCCTGCACGCCCCCTTCTGGGGATGGAGCCTGCAACATGGGCACCTACCCTGACTAGGAATCGAACCATGACCTCCTGGTTCATAGGTCGATGCTCAACCATTGAGCCACTGCAGTCAGGCTGCTGTTGAAACGACAGTATTATAGATGTCTCCCATTTCCTCACCTCTGTCCCCCTCCACCGAGCCCCTACCCCTCCTCAGATCTTCTCCACAGTATTGTCTGCGTCCACATGCTACTCATATGTGCACATCAATTCTTTGATTAATCTCTTCCCATCCCCTCACCCACTCCCTTCCTTTTGAGATTGGTCAATGTGTTTCTTGTATCCAAGTCTCTGGTCCTATTATTTTTTTGTCAGCTTATTTTGTTCATTGGATTCCACGTATGAGTGAGATCATGGGATATGAGTCCTTCTCTGACTGGCTTATTTCACTTAGCACCATGCCCTCCAGGTCCCTCCGTGCCGTCTCAAAGGGTTAGAGATCCTCCTTTTTCACGGCTGCGTAGTATTCCACGGTGTCGATGGACCACAGCTGTTTTATCCACTCGTCTGCTGATGGGCACTTGGGCTGTTTCCAGATCTTAGCTATTGTAAATCGTGCAGCTATGAACACAGGGGTGCACATATTCTTTCTGATTGGTGTTTCGGGGTTCTTAGGATGGATGTTTGAAGGAGGCGATTAGCATTAAGTACCTAGTTGAATTTTAAGGTTCAAACACGGGTAATGACTTACCTATGGAATTTCGGTTTTCTGTTCCTTTTCTTTCATGGCAATGACTTTTGCTATCATGTCCCTTGGTCATCACAGCGCCCCCCCCCCCCAAGTGTGTAACAACTCTTAGCTTTCCTAAAATCACCAGATAGTGGTCTCCCTTTGGACTAATGGCCAACCAAAGACGGAGATAAAGACATCGCATCTTTTTAGGGGATCTGAGTTCATTCCACACAGCCTTGGTGAGATTAAACTCTTAGGTTCTGCTTCTTCTTGAGATTATGTGCTCACGAGGCCTGTCTGAGGTTACATTTAGGGACGCAGCCAAGTAACTCACACCCCAAAAAGGAGCTGGATGGCCCCAGAACTTGGCACAGCTCAAGCTCATCCTTAATGGGCCAAGAGATACAAGTAATTGAGAGCTTGGGGTTTATGCCATGAGAATGTCAGAAAACCAGTTTTTAATTGATGGAAGTAGAGATAGAATCCACAAATTAAGGGAGCATTTCCAAACGGGAGCTGACTTAAGCAACCCAAAGATGACACACTTTTCTTTCCAGGAGCTTCGATCTTCGGCCAAAGAAAATAAGAAGGTACTCAGATCTCCAAGATGACGCTCAGGTACGGGAAGTAATAAGCCACCGGGCAAACGCACTGATGCTGATGTGTAATTTTGTGGCATCTGTGAAGTCAGCTCGATAGCTAGAGGCATGCACTATTGTGCATTCATTATGTGGTTAGCTGTCAAATGTCTACGTTTATCTTCTGGGTTCATAAGTTCATAATGAAAAGGGAAGTAGGAGAGATGTAGACAATTGAAACAAATAGAAATGGCCAATTTACAACACACTTATTTTATTTTATATTTATTGATTGATGAGAGAGAGAGAGAGAGAGAGAGAGAGCGAGAGAGAGATCTGTGGTTCCACTTAGTCATGCACTCATTGGGTGATTCTTTGTGTGCCCTGGCCAGGGATTGAACTCGCAACCTTGTCATATCAGGACGATGCTCTAACCACCTGAGCTACCTGGCCAGGGTCTGTATTATTTTGAAATGTTGTACAAACAGGAATTGAGAGAAACAACGCAATCATTTTGGTGAAGATGAAAGCATTTCTGTAATTATTATGGTTTGTCCATAGACAAAGTCCTTGCCGTAGACTTCTTGTTAACTGTTTTGGGGGTCCAAAGTTTGGGAAAAGCAGAGTTTCAATCTTGAGTCAATAGTTATATCAGAGGATTTATAAAGGGTCTGGGAACAGATGGGGTCAGGGAATCTTTCTACCCTCCTCCTTCCCAGAGTAAATATTTAACGATGGTTTTACTCTATGAATAAAGACAGCATAGAGATTGAACCAATGGATCCAATATCCATTACCTGATATCTGGTAGAGACCCAATAGGAAGAGAAATCCTATATAATAAAAGCCTAATATGCTAAGTGTCCGGTCGACTGGTCGCCATGAAAGCAATCAAAGGATAATATGCTAATGATATGCTAAGGCCACTCAACCGCTCACTATGACATGCACTGACCACCAGGGGGCAGATGTTCTGACTGGTGGGTTAGCTTGCTGCTGGGATCTGGCTGATCCTGACTGAGCGAGACGGGCCGGACACACCCTGGAGCCTTCCCGTGGTCCCTCCCCAGCTGGCCAACCTCCCGCGTCCCTCCCTGGCCCTGATCGGCCTACCCTGTACCCTCTCACAATCTAGGAACCTTTGGGGGATGTTGGAGAGCCAGTTTCGACCCGATCCCGCAGGCCAGGCCTAAGAACCCCACTGGTGCATGAATTCGTGCACCGGGCCTCTAGTATTCTATATTTCTTAGAAATCGAGACTTGAGCTGGGACTGAACAAAATTAGGAAGCGGAGTAAATCCGTGTCCAGATTCCAGGATTCAGTTGTCTTCCATGCCCTCCTTTTACTTATTTTGGGGTGCCTTTTTTGAAATGTTGTACAAACAGGAATTGAGAGAAACAACGCAATCATTTTGGTGAAGATGAAAGCATTTCTGTAATTATTATGGTTTGTCCATAGACAAAGCCCTGGCCGTAGATTTCTTGTTAATAGTTTTGGGGGGGAAAGTTTGGGAAAAGCAGAGTTTCAATCTGTAGTTGTATCAGAGGATTTATAAAGGGTCTGGGAACAGATGGGGTCAGGGAATCTTTCTACCCTCCTCCTTCCCAGAGTAAATATTTAACGATGGTTTTACTCTATGAATAAAGACAGCATAGAGATTGAACCAATGGATCCAATATCCATTACCTGATATCTGGTAGAGACCCAATAGGAAGAGAAATCCTATATAATAAAAGCCTAATATGCTAAGTGTCCGGTCGACTGGTCGCCATGAAAGCAATCAAAGGATAATATGCTAATGATATGCTAAGGCCACTCAACCGCTCACTATGAC